GTATGCTGAACTTCTAGTCTATGTACCTATGAACCAACGCTATTCCTATGATACCACACTGGACAATTATTTGAGCCCAAATCTGTATAAATATTTTCAGTTTATACTATATAATAAATTATAATTTTATTTAAATTCTCTAATTAAACAGATATGTTTTAATATGTATATATTACTCGTATAATTTTCTCTGTTGCCTGCATTTTTTATTTAGCGGAAAAGTTTTTCATTCATACGTTACCAAAGGTGAAACTGAAATTTGTTAACAAAACTAAAATAAAAAAAAATTAAAACCAAAAAATTATATATAAAAAAAATTTTTTGTAAAATGGTTGGTTAAAAGCCAGAAAAATAAAAGATTTCAGATACAAGTCAGCTGAAATAAAATTTGACAATATAATACTAAAACTACTCAGTCGTAATCGGAGCAAAATGCAAGAAGGCATAAAGAAACTAAAACAACAATTTTAATGATATAAAATTTTGTATTATTTTTTGCTTATTTTGAGTATTACACAAAATATTTTATTTAAAAAAAATAAAAAATAAATGAAATAAAAAGCCTTACCGAAAGCCAAAATCTTTAACATAAAAGTGAAGGGACATTGATATATTGCCACACAAAAGGTGTATGAAAACAAGGGCACTGCGAAAGGACACTCGCCGCAAACAAATATTGCAAGATGGGCAGTAAGTGAAATAAAATTGAGCAAAGTTGTATGCAACAGAGGAAAAGATATCAATACCAAAAATAAATATCAAGAAGGCAACTATAGTAACTATACTATACGAGTGGTGAAGAAAAAAATTATCTCTTAAAATGTTATATCACAAGCTATCATTTTACATGAGATCATTGTGCTCATTTTGCCGCAACAATGGCAATGCCGCAACAACATTGCATGCAACAAAAGTAGCAACCGTTGTAATGTTAACAGCAAGTGGCCTGAAGCGCATCAACTTGCAATGTTGCAGTCCAGCAGTCCAGCAGTCCACCAGTCCGGGAGTTAGCCAAGTCAGTCAGTCAGTCAAACAGTCAAAAAGTCAGTCAGTCAGACTTTGAGATATAAATTTGAAGCAGCTTCCCTGCGAATTTGGCGCTACATTGTAGAAGGCTTGGTGTGCAAATGAAGACAGCAACAAGCAATTCTACACACGTTGCAAGTACGCAAAAGTACGAGTACTTAAGTATGTTTTAAGCTATAAATATAAGATGTACCTGTTGCATGTTGTCTGCTGCAGAAGTCCTGGTGTGAAGAAAAGTATATAAGCTTCTTTTGTTTTTGTTGTTGTTGAATATGGCATTTGGTATATAATGCTTTCAACAGTAAATTTCACTTGTTTAACATTGAAGAGATATTAGGTCAAAGTAATCGTAGTGTAGAACTTCCAGTAGAAATTCCACACAAAACAAGGTGCAGCAAAATAGTTACAAATACTGGTAATTATAGTTTGTAACTATAAATAGGTAAATGAATATATTGTAGTCCCATATACGTTTGTAATAAGTCTTGTTAGGAATATTAAAATGCAACTACATTTTAAGAAATAATATTAAAACTTATTAACGATATTATTTTGAGTGATCAATGAGTCAAAATGCATAGATCATAGTTATACCACTTGACATAGCGGTTTCAGTTTTATACAAACAATTGGTACGGCGTTCGAAAAAAGAGGTATGTCTAAGAACTCTATCCTTCACAGCGGTATTAAAAAGACGCAATGTATGATCACTTAGGTTAAGTTAGATAATACCGGAGATTATAAGGGATCCACTTTACTACGAAAAAACAGCTAATCGATGGCACATATGCTTATATCAAAAGGAATTTCATATAACTGTAAAATTGCAGATGACTTAAAAAGTTTTAGAAGTTAAGTTAAAAGGAATCTTTATTTAAGGGGAATATGTATCCAAAACTTAAAAATATTGTTTTTTTTTTTCTCAACCAATTAATGCCATGCACTAGCATTTTGTATGATATATATTTATACATATATATATTCAGTATATTTGTATATAAGAGAACATTCTTTAATAAAGCAATTTATATTTAACTCATTATAAAGCTAATATTCGTAGAGTCTTAAACCCATACAACTTTTGTTAGATGGTTTAAATATATAGTATTAACTTTCAACTTCATAGTAGGTATATAACACTTTCAATAAAAAAAATATTTTGTTCATAAAAGACTTCATCGATTATCAATAATAATATCAGATTAAGACAAAAAAGTGTTTGTTGTGTTGAAACAATATATCAGAAGTATTATAACTAATAGATAACTAATAGGAATAAGGAGACGAGGTCCTCCCAAAACCAGATTAGTGGCAACAGAAACAAAGAAATCTCTTAACCAGCTACGTTTTACTGCCAGATTGTTTTTTATAAATGAATGCCAGTATGTTTTCCGTTAAAGAAATTTTGATTAACAGATGAAGACAAAAACAATCAGGCCAGAATTTTCTCTGGTCCGTTGCTCTCTGTCAAAAAATATGCTGCACCTTTCTTGCAAGTTGGACACTACACTTTAGATATACTAAAATTACTACTTTCTGTATTGTTAATTTATCTTCAAGTAATGCCAATATACGTATAACAATAAATTAACTCATAATAATATCTCTATTTTTAATGAACTTCATCAGCACAGCTTCCAATTAAATGTAACGTAACATTTTTTTTTTATTACACTACTTCATGCATTAATTATATCTTAAATGCATTAATAATGAAAATAATTATTATATACTAGCTATATATGCATAAATAATCATATTATTATCTTTGTTAAAGCACATTGACGTTTATTTCTGTCAAAATTTTAATTAAAAATCATGCAACAACATTTTCCCGTAGCGTTACTTCATAATCCAACATTAAAATGGCAGCCAGAAGATGCAATGGGTTTATGCATCTTTACGGTTAGTAACCTGTTGCATTTGTATTTCATATCTGCTACTGCTTGACATATGTACGCATATAACACAGACGTATGCTACTACAATATCTACAGATATAGACGCAAGAGTATGTGAATCTTTTTACCTTTTAACAAAACGCAGTTACCGCCAGAGATTTGCTAATTCTTGCCATTTTGATTGACGTTCGCCTATCTGTCATTTAAAATATTTTTATATTTTTATATTTTTATATAAAAATAAAAACAATATTCACGTAAATGCACTTTTGCTAAAGTCATAGAGCGAATGAATTAAAAATTTGTTTTATTCATTTGCCAAGTTTTTGGTGTGAGATAGTTGTAACTAAACGCAGCTGGATAGTTAGTAGTAGCTTCCAATAACAGATACATAACGCACTATTTTTTATTATTTTACAGATGCCATAAAAAGCATTTAGAAAACGACAAGCAAATAAAAGCTAAAAGCTTTACAGATAGTAAAGCGGTACTTTATAGTTATTTTTCCTATTAAAGAAGGATTACGTTATGAAAAAGTATATTTTTATAGCATTCTATTACTTAAAAATAAATATTACTATAAAAATATTTATTTGCTTAACTCTCTAATGTATTTACAGACTATTTTGGTTTAAGCAAGTACTTAGAACTTTTTATTTTAAGTGTTAAAGCGGTAATGGGTTATGAACCTTTGTTATTCAATGAATTACTTGTAGATCTAATGGAATAATTTGAAAGGATACATAGTACTGGTTTTTACACACGCCCTACTGTTTATTACACACAGAATATACTATGCTACGCTATTTCTATGCTAGAAATAGATAGAACAGATGGAATTAGAAGGAAGCATGACCTAAAAAATCAGCTCAATCTTATTGTAAAATATGTTAAACATCAGATAAATATAAAATTAGATAAAATTTTACTTGAATGCAAGGTGTGATAGAACGTTGTTCTATATAATAATCGGTATGCTATGCTACGCTATATCTATGCTAGAAATAGATAGAACAGATGGAATTAGAAGGAGGCATGACCTAATAAATCAGCTCAATCTTATTGTAAAACATATTAAAAATCATCTAGATATAAAATTAGATAAAAGTTTACTCGAATGCAAGGTGCGATAGAACGTTGTTCTATATAATAATCGCTGAAATGACTTAGAAGACATTTACATTTAATAGCAGGGTTCGAACAGTAATGAATAATGAACAAAAAAATTTTTATTAATTTATTGAAATTTGGCTAAACATACAACGCTATTTCGAGTCTTGCCAAGTACTCATCATCAGTGATATTAGGAAATATTCGTATTTTTTATTTAGTTTATAGTCCGCATATAATTTGTTGGACCGCAAGTACCAGGCTTAGAACTCGTGTTTATCAAATCAGAAACTATGACTAATCGTGTGTTTCCAAAAGTAACTATTTAATTCTCAAAGCAATGAAGATGGATAATATTGATCTCAGATTGATAAATATCAGATATCCATATGATCGATAGGTATAAGATAAATATGTAGATGACTAAGTTTTATTTAGTAATAGCTGAACTGACTTAGAAAACATTTATATTTAATTCTTAATGCAGCGAATATGGATAAAAAAGATCTCAGATAGATAAATAACATCTTTCTCAAAACAATGAAGATCGATAATAATGAGATCAGACAGAATTTCACACAAAAGCTAGGTTAACTCAAATATTCAGATGTGTTATCGTGTAATCATTGTATAGCCTTAAAAAATCAGCTGGACTTAATCTTTAAAACTGCGAATATGAATAATTTCATCAGATGAGATTCTCAAAGCAGCGAAAATCGGTAATAATGAGAGAATCAGCTAGATATAATCTTCAAAATTGCAAATATGGATAGTTTCCTCAAAATATTCATTCGACAGATAGATGAACTTGAATACTAAAGATATCAAGTCACTTTCATACTGGCTATATTAGCACAATAATTGTACGAATTGAAAGCAATGTATATATTTCTATACATTCCTATATACAAAATCTTAAAATCCATACAATAGTAACATATATTAAAAATATCTTGCACTTACCTTATCGCAAAAGACCTTTATTTGACAATAGCCTCGGTGAAAGACTTGCGCATCTCTGGGATCTTCGAATGTGTCAATTTGTATGTGTAGTGGAAGACCCTAAAAAAATATAAAAATTTATAAAAATATATAAAATAAAATTTATAAAAACAATTTTAATACTAATCATTATTTTTTAAAAATTAATTGCATATCTTATCTAAGACAAATTAAACAGATATATAACGATGCTGCAGTCTTGCAGTCAGACTGAGTCAGTCTTCTTTATAGAATAAATTATACTCTTCGCTTAGGATTCTTTTTGACCTTTTCTAATCTGAGTAACATTTTTCTAATACAAAACAAATTGATGTTTCTAATTGTCAATAAAATGACATCATAAATAGCTTCTGTAAACGTTTTTTAATCGTTTCTAGTGAAACATGGAATTATGCAATTGCATTTGTTTACATATTTGTTTCTTGAGCAGCATTAAATCGTATTTTCTCAGGCGAAAGACACTTGTAGATACATTAAAACATATTCGATTGCAATTAAAATTGTCGGTTATTAAAGAAAATGAAGTAATATGGAAAAATATGTAAAAGTAAAACAGATTTAATTGCCATAAATCAATAACTTCCGCTTTACGGCAAGAGAACTGCTGTGCCAGTTTTCCTTTTCGTGTCTGGGATACTCATAAAAAGTGAATAAAATCATGAATGAAAACGAATGAAATTTTATTATAGCCATAAAATATTTAATTAAAGAAACTCAATTACAAATCGGATATAGCATTGGCTGTAGACTGCATGATATACGCACCTTACGACTATTTTATTTCATAAATAAAATGCAAATAAAACTTATATTAATAATATGTTTGCAGGAAGCCATTTCCTAAAAACTGAAATAGTCGCGGTAGTAAATTTTCTATAGATCGTACCGTATCAAGTCACATGTTAACATTTTTTATCTCTTTTTCATATCAAGGAGTTCGATAATATATGTGTTAATTCTCCTCCCAACAAATTAATTAAAAATTTACATTAAATTGATTTTTAACGTCCGTTTTGACGAAAGAAACTAAATTCTAAAAATAAACTATGATTTTCAACAGTGAGTTTTTTATCGAACAGTAGTGAATTGCAACAACAAAATTTTTATTAGCTTTAATTAATTAAATTGATGACTGACAGTTGTTTCTAGTAAATGTTACTCAAAAGTTTTCTTTGAGCGCGGAAAGCATGAGCCACGAAAAGGAGTTCTAAATAAAACTTAAATAAATTGAAGTTTAAGTGAACTTAACTAAAATTAAATAGTAGTTTAGAATAGAATGAGCATCTCTGATATGTAAAGTAAATATATCTGGAAAGTGTTATATTATTATATGTATAGGGACCTTCTGACATTAAAAGGTTTGCAACGACTGAAATCCTTCCATTCGGAAGGCGGAATGTCTTCTGTTCGATTAGGGTCTGTTGCAGCACAAAAGATCAACCGTGGTCGCTTTGCTCCGTTGGGAGCTGGTACCCTATTTATTCCTATTCCTATATGTATAGGGAAAAACGGACTAATTATTGTGTGAAAGAGGAGTTCGTTTAAAAAATTTGTCAAACTTGAAAAACTTAATGCTCCCATAACGATTAATTTAAATATTAAAGACATTTAAATTAAATACCAAATCTGTTGAATTTTAATAATTGTTAAAATTTAAGTTCCTTATAGATATACATTTTTTAAAAAATGTTTGCTTATTTTTAAAAAATTTTAAGGACTTTATTATTAAATATGTTTTTTCATAAACTTTTCTTTGATCCTCTCTGTTTTGCCTTTTGAACTCTTTTGATTCTTTTAGATAATAAGTACATAAACGAAAGAAATAAAATATATGCTTAGCACTAGCTCCCAGTGAAGTAGATCACTAAGACTATGCGTAATATTTTATCCTTCTAACCTACCGAAACTCAACAGAACACATTTCGTTGTTGGCATTTCGCCAGAATGTCAACTGTTGAGAATATTAACACTCGATTTCTAGCAATCATAATAAATAAATATAGTTCTAACTGATAATTAATTTTCTAAATATGAACCAATGTTGGTGCACAACTAAATCTCTGATAAAAAAATGGATCGTAACTAAAAAAAATCGCTATGGGAGTATCATTTCAGCTAACCGTCAGGCTAAAGAACCGGTCAGACTTATTACTGTAGTCATGATACTATGAGTAACTATCAAGATATACACTTCGCAGTTATATGGGGGTGTCTAAGAAGATAGAATATTGGTAAATGAAACCTCTCATCCTAGTATTTTTGACTGCATCGCTTTTATCGAGCCTAAAAGGAGAATACTAAGCATTGAGCTCAATGTCAATGTCAAATTCTCAATTTGACATATTTCGGTTCTATTAAAACCAAAAAAAATCGTAATAGACGGGACAATCATCAGCTCAAAAAACTGGTTCACGCTTACAACTACGCTGAGGAAAACAGAATAGAATATTTTGGCAGTTAATTTTATGAATCACTTTTGCTTATCTTCAAATCTCAACAATATGGGACTCCCTGAGAATGAATTAAAATTCTAGTCATTTTAGAGTATAGAGGTTTGGCTTTATTAGTGATAGTCACTTTATTTGTGATTATAAAGGATTAATCAAGGCTAGTGATAGAATACTAGGCCGAGAGCTAGTTACTTTATTTGTGACTATAAGGCTTCGACCTAGGCTAGTCATAGAATAGTAAGTCCAGAGCTAGTCACTTTGTGTGTGATTAGGGGTTTAATATAGGCAAGTGATAGAATACTAAGTCCAGAGCTAGTCACTTTATTTGTGACTATAAGGGCTTGACCTAAGCTAGTCATAGAACACTAGGTCAAGAGCTAATCACTTTGTGTGTGATTATTGAGGTAAATAATAGAATACTAGGCCCAGAGCTCTTATATTCACAAGTTAAAAAACCCTGAACAACAAAATATTTGTTTCCAGTCGAAGAGCTGAGTATTTGCTGACCAGTTAGGGTCAGTTTGCGGCATTAAAATTCTATTATGTCGCAGTGCGCTGCTTCATTGGAAGTTAGTACGTTGCTAATTTGACTGATTTATATTTATTATTTATTCTAATTAATATAAAAATATCTACATAATATCTTAAAAACATATTTTTTGTTGTTTTCTATGCTTTTATTGTAACGAATGATGATTAAATTTAAAATTATGCATTTGTATCTCATTGAGCATATATATAGATATATAGATATATATATATAAATTGAGGTACATGCATTTTGTAGATTTTTAAGTGCACTAATTCTTATCTACAGCTTGTCGTTATTTAAAATTGTGCTTCTCATTAGCACTTAAAATAGCTGAACTTGTCAATTTTGACAGCATTGAACGCATGTATCCTAGACATTTATTGCAACTTTTACTCCGGACGGCAAATGCTGCGTGACAATTGTCTGGAGTAAAATCCGCTACTTTCGAATGCGATACGGTGTGGTATGACCGGCGCGGTTCGCCGCGTCTGTTACGATTTCTACGTGTTAATTGTGAAAAATGTTGTGGAAAGTTTAACTCCTTTTTTTCTGTTGTTGTTGTTGTTTTTGTACATTTTTTTTGTAATTTTTTGTTACTTTGTTTTAGCCGCAATTAATTATTAATATAATTTATGGCTCAATAAATGTATTGAATGAAATTTATTAAATACGGTGCGTAATCTTTAATGGTAATTGGCGGTACCAATGCTGCCAGCATTGCTTAATGGACAAATATTTTGTTATCGAGCAAGTCAAGCGAGCGGAATGGTTTTTTTTTTTTTGTTTTTTGCTTGCAATGCATAAAAAATCTGTTTTGCAGATGCAACAAAACAAGTAGAAAGAAACCAAAACATGAATGTAGTTGTCAATAAAATATCGACTTAACTTTTGCCTCCGATCCGAATACATCGTGTCGCACATGAAGTGCATGAAGTCCATGCAAAATGGCTATATCACTCACTACATGGTCACTATATGGCTATATGGCTGGCTATATGGCAATATGGGAATATGGCAAAATGAAAAGCTTGTTATGCGGTATGCCAATGTATATCCATAATGGGTATGCAACATCCAATGACATGGATGAAATAAATGTAGCTAAATGTATTGCATTTTTAGTTGTTGTAGTTGTTATAGTTGTTATAGTTGTTATTGTTTTTATTGTTTTTATTGTGTTAATATTGTGCATGGCAATTGATATATTTCCTAAAAACTGTTTTGAATCAAATCGAACTATATAAAATGTAGATACGAACGCAATCTGTCATGTGAGACGCAGAAAACAGAAATTCGATTTTTTATTAACAACAATTTTGCATGTCTTGAAAATATTATTAATGGCCTAAACAAACTGTAAGGCAAGGAAGGCGCTTACTCTGGTATATGGACGAGAGACTACAGTAAAATTAAATCAAAAACAACAAACAAACAATCTTTGGACGAGTTTTGGATACAAAAGACGCGCTATGCGGTATGTGCAATACGCAAGGCACGTTGTCCAACGCACGACCGGTACGCGTTGCAGTCTGTAAGTGGGCGCGTGTACCGCAAATATCAACAGCAGGTGACAAAAAACGGAGTACGAACTCCTTAATAAATTGAAGTGTCTTAAAATGTTTTTCTATAAAAACATAAAGAAAATAAATTAAAATAAATAAAATACTTTGATATACGACTCTGAAACCGTAGATACGTGAAGTAAAAAAAATGGAATAAAAAATATGAAATTCATGAAATGCGTTTACGCACATGGTTATGGGGAAAATATCTGTGCACTCATATTATATATTGATATATAAACAGATACATATATATATATATAGGTATATACAGACAATATTTTTTTAATTAAGATAACCATTTCGTTGTCAATTTCGAGTCGAGTTGTTATTTTCTTTTTATTATTATTTCTGATATTTGTTTTTTTTTTCGCTTTTTTGCTTTTTAATTTTGATTGCGTGCATTTCATTTCATCTCACAACCAAAGTATCTGTAGTAGCTATACGTTTCCCTGATTCTGACTCTGACTCTAATTTTGTCTCGATGTCTGTCTTTTGTATCCGTATTACGGTCTACAAAGGCACAGGTGTTTTCTCAATCTTTACATTTAATTTTGTTTTTATTTTGTTTCTTTTAATCTGTGTTGTTCTGTTTTTTTTTCTTTTATTTTTTTTTTCAACTATATTTCTTGATTTCTAATGAACGCTTTCTACATGGCAATCAATTTACCATTCTTGAGCATAGCTTGGGGATCATTTTCAGTTTTATTGTACAGCATAGAAAATATTTTTTATTGTACAATTTATGTCATATCCAAAGTCATATAAGTTATATTTACTGCCATTTAGGCTTATATTGAGGTTGAGATTTTCTTCTACCTGTTGCCTCTGCCTTCTAGCCTGGCTGACTCACTGCCTGACTGCTTGTCCGCAATGGACTCTGTGAAAACATTGATATCTTGCGTGTATGCAGGCTTTGTTGTCTTTATATAAAGACGGTATCCTTAATTTTATCCTGCAGTTGATTTAATAAAAAGATATGCACTTAATTTATTGTAGTGTCATATATCGTTATACAATTAAAAATCTTGTTATTGTTGTTGTTATGGTTGGTGTATTGTTAGCACTTACCTTGACACCTTTCTGGCTGCTAAAATCTGTACTTAGGCATTGCACGGCTATATTTATCTGTAATAAAAAAAATGTGGTTTTAATGTTAGCATTTTATTGTACATTTATTGTATAATAGTTTTTTTCGTTGTTATTTAAAGTGTTTTATATTCAATTATAATTACAGGTAAAGAACACAAAATGCCGAAAGTTGATATCATGCAAAAATATATTGCATATTTGAAAATCTCAAAGCAAAATACAATCTTTAACTAAGTCTGCAAGAATATTGGCTTTTAGCATCACATTATACAATAAAAACATATGAAAATATCAGAGATATATAACGTTTAAAGTTATAGAAACTAGGAAAGTTGAAATTATGCACAAGTACATTGTATATTTAAAAATCTAAATGTAAAATACAATCTTTAACTAAAGGTATGAATATAGAATTAAAATATATAAAAATATTAGAAATAAATAGCATCTAAGACTATATAATTATATTCACTAAATTGTATATTTAAAATAAAAATAAATCCAACTATAAGAATTAAAGCCTTGATTTGTCGATCTCTCCTTTAAATCACATAAAAATATATTGAAGAAGGGAGTTGTAGAAGAAGAAGAAGAAGTTAAAATTTGGCATTGTATGAATTTGTGTATGATAAATCTAAAAGAAATGATCTTATCCTTTAAGCTGGAACCAACTATATGTACTCACAAAATAACTTCAGTTTTACAGATTATCATGTACGAGCATAATGCCACAGAATTTTTATATATTAACTTAAAATAATATATTTGAACATTGCAATCACATGATTACGGATGAAGAAAACTTTAATCTGTAATCCAAATGGAAGTTTTAAGATTTTGAATAACTCTAGCTATTTATATATTAACTATTAATATTATTATAATATTATTAGTTATTATATTAACTAATAATATTATTCTCAATGTTATATATACCACTAATTATGAATAATATTTTCATAACATAACCCACTTATTTATTGGTCTTTAGTATAGTCCTTTAAATAATTAAGTAAAGTTTATTACTGAATAGGTTAACTTACATACCGAAAGTAAATGCCTTTTAATGACAAAAAACCACTTTTAAGTTTGGTTTTAGTGAAGTCCTTCTTATAATGTATTTAGAAATGTGAGCTAAAGTTTAGCTTGCATTTAAGTTGCTTCTTCTTTTCTTCCTTTTGTTTCATTTTATTTTCTCTAATATGTATACTAAGTGATCTTCAAACTCTATCCAAGAGTAAACAAAATTTGAAAAAATACATAAGTAATGACCAGCCTAATATTTATCATTTGTTAGTGCTATTAGCTTGCACTCTAATTGTTTCTTCTTTTTTTTCCACCACTTTTAGAGCTTTTCTGGTTTTCGTTTTATTTAAATTTCTCTAGTAAGTATAAGGAGTGACCTCAATTGTTCTAGAATTTCATAAACACTAGATTTTTGAAAAGCACTAACAAATATGCTATTAGCTTTATGTTCATTTATTAAGGTTGCCACTATTACGAATATGTTCAAATTTTTGTTGCTATCCAACAGATATGTTAGAATGTCCAGAAAACTACTGAGGTCTTTAACCAAACGAATAATTATTGGTTGTCACTCATTGTAC